GCTAGGCAGTAGAAAACAGCACATCCAACCTTCAGGCAGATAGACTACAGCTGTAGAAGACCACACCAGCTGCAACCCCTGTCATCTAAGAACAAGAGGCTGAAGCTACAGTTCACACAGGCTCACCAATATTAGACAGTAAAATATTGGGTAGTCTCATTAAGCTCTAAATCTGCTACAACATTCAGATGGTAGTGTCAGAATTTGGTGTAAACAACATGAGACCATTAATGTATCCTGCCTTGTATCAGTAATTCAGGGCACTCAGTCTGTAAGTTGTACGTGTTTAGTATTTTGTATTTCAGCTAGGAGTGGATGGCCTTTAATTAATTGATTAGAGTGCAGGATTATATAATAGCTCAGTGAGTGTTCAGTTAGTTTTTGTGTGAGTTGCTACTTGTACTGTTTATATTCTGTTGTGTGTTTCAGGGTGTGAGGAATACTTTAGCAGGGGAAGAATCCCAGGTGGAGCTGCTCAAGGCTCAGCTCAGGGAGCTCTTCAGGTTCTCAGAGGACTCGCGTCACCTTTCTCATGATGTCTTGGCTGTTGTTAAAGAACATCAAAGGTATGTGCTAGGGAGCTTGTGTTTGTGTTTGTGTGGGAGTTTTTTTAAACCCCAAAACAAAACAACAAATAAGGCCCCATAATGACTAATCATTTAGTAAAATTAATCATTTTACTTTCCTTAGATTACTGTTGCTATCTAAATGAGAATGTTAAAAGTGAAAATGTATGTGCTATAATAAATCTTCTGTTGAAAATATAATATAATGATCTGAAGAATGCTTGCATACACTTTATAAATGCAGGTATATTACATTATAAATGCTGTGTTTAGTTATTGAATAACTTACGAAATTAATTCGTTCCAGAGGGTCTTTGGTAAGTCAAGATTTTCACAAGTCGAAGCACCTTTTTCAAACACATTTGCATGACATACACTACCAGTCAAAAGTTTGGACACACCTTCTCATTTAATGTTTTTACTACTTTTCTACATTGTAGATACATACTGAAGGCAAATATAATATATATATGAAGCATATATGGAGTTATGTAGCAAAGAAAAAATGGATAAAAACTTTGTCTTATATTTCAGATTCCTTAAAGCAG